CCCCAAAACCCCAAAACCCCAAAACCCCATCTTCATCTTTTAAAGAATATATTAAGAAAATCATAAATTTATATAAATAAAGTAGTTAAGAATTTATAAAACTAAAATGATTGTGTTTAATTATTGAATGAATTAAGTTGAAATAAAAATAGGCTCATAAATAGGTTTAAGAACTGTCTTACACGTAAAAGCGTGCTGATAATTAGATCTTGGCCTTCTTGCTTTCTTTCTTCTTCATGTAGGCAGGTGGGAATTTTTCTAACCAGTGAGCAGGAACTGCTAGTTTGTAGTCATGTATTAGAAGCCATGAGATATGCTAGAGGGTTGGCTTTAACTCATTGAGGACCTGAGATCTTGACTTTCGAACCTTCCCATTTTTTAAACCTTTCTTAATGACTTTTGTCTTTTAGGCAGGCTTCTCATCTTCAGATTTTTCTATGAAAAAGAATTTCTACTCAGAGTATTAAATGAAAAGAGGCCAGAGAGTTCTGATGAAGTCATCCTAAAGGAATTGGTCTACTGTTTCGGTTCTATTTTGATCGAAAACTAGCTTATAAATTTGCATTCCTTCCTCTCCAAGAACTTAATTGAAGATGTTGTCTTTTTTAATAAAAATGGTTTCCTTCTATTTCTTTCCATTCTTTTCAATGCTGTCTTTTTTCTCAATAGTCTTGATTGTAGTACCGAGAGTGTGATAGAGTAGCACAGAGAGAGCGCAGATTTATCTATCAGTAGGTTGAATTAAGCCCCAACCCTGAAGGAAGGCTTTAGATTCAGCAAGCCATCTCTATCCAAAATGATGATATCCCTTGCTGAGCCCAGATTTTTCAAAGGCAATGAAGAGTGCCTTTCTGAAATCGCGAAGCAAAAATTTGAATCCTTAGTCTAACTTGAGTTTAGTAGGTTTAGTTTTCTACTAAACTTAAGTATGATCATTTGAATTCTATCTTTGCATCTTATCTTTATTAATTGATTTGCTCTTTTTCTGGGCGGCTTAGGTATTTGAAGATCTTGCTGTTTAGAGCAACAAATTTTGATTCAAATCCAGAGAATCAAACATTGCAAAAGCTTATTGAATTAGTTCTCTATTATCTGATGGATCAGTTGATTGATCAATATTAGGCACTTAATACTCCTCTTAAGAGCTCATTTGAAACTCTAGAGTGTGAAAGTTGCTTTCCTAGGAATTCTGGTTGACCTCTTGTTATTAAATAGGGCAAGAATATTTGTTCAGAAAGGGATCAGAAATGTGAGCAAAGATTTTTGTGCCAACCCGTGTTTCAGCTTTATAAAAACTCATATCAGCTTCGGATGATGAGTCATATATATTGCAATTGTTGAAATCATCGCACTTGCTGATGAATTGATCACCATTGCTTTAGGTCTGAACCGGATCTAGGTTGATTTTAGTTTACCAATAAGTATTCTAATGATAGAAACTTTAGAAATGAGGCAAGAATCCATCATTTGAGATATGTTATTTTGAATCTCCGTCAAAATTCATATATACTTCCGCAATATCTAATTGATCATTCTTTGGCTCTCCGAATGAAAAGCATGAGTTGATAGAATTGGTTTATTAGGGAAAGGGGTTGAATGTATTTTAGTAATTCATCTTACTTTATGTTTATTGAATTAATGATAAATAATAGCAATTATATCATTTTATCTAAACATGGATAAAATTGGTCAGAAAATTCTCAATTCTTGGCATTAAGGGGTTTTGGGGTTTTGGGGTTCTTTTTTCCGCTCTCT